GTTTTGCAACTGTAAAAGTTTTTCTGCCTTTACATTTGCTTCAACTTCTTTTTTATACTCATCGCTATCCATATATGTCTTCAGGGCTTTTTGTTTTATTTCTTCATCTTTCAGTACTTTATATTGAGTAGTATGGTTTTTCAAATTTATAACATCTTGTTCCATTTTTGCTACTTCTGCTGCTTTTTCTGACACTTTTTTCGCATATTCCTCTGTACTTAGTTCTTTCAGTTGTTCTTCTTTCTTCTTTTTCTCTACGTTTAACTCATTGAGTTTCTTTGTGTGTCTGTCATATTCTAGTTTCTTTTCGTTTTCACTTATTTGTTTCTGTATGTCTATGTTTGACTTTTTGACATCTGTTATTTGATTTTTGAGTGAACTCAAATTCATTTGACTTTGAGGGTTATAAGCTGTTCCGTCTGCAGCTCCACCATAGCCTGCCATTTTCGCTAAAAGTGCCGCTCTTAAACCTCCACTCTGTGCACCAATAACTCGGTTTAAAAGCATAGGGTTGCTTGACATTTGTTGCAACATAGTGGGGTCATTCATCATTTGTTGTTTGCAACTGTTGTTGTGGTGTCAGTTTTACTATTGGATGTTTCAATGCTCCCTTCCTCTTACGTATATTCTTACGTAGCTTACGTGGCATTTTAAGTGAAGTAAAAAACGGTTTTTGACAGATGTTTATATGACACTTTTTGTTCAGCACAAAAAACTACTCGGTCAAAGTGTTGTCAGTTTTGTAAAATAACCGTCCTATCTCATTCTATAAGGGAGAAAAGGCTTCTCAAAGTATACTTCCTTGGAACGCCTGTAACTTTTCCTGTAGCGACGATAGACCCTTACTTGTCAGGACAAAGTTATACTATTTTGAGTGCTCTACAAAAAAGTCACCGGCTGGTCGGCTGGGGTTCGGTCCTCCTCTTGGGTCTTGGGAAAAATTTCTTATGGGCTAGAGGGCGCAACGCGCCTGGAAGCCCCACTACCTTTTTTTTTATTCATCTATTAGTAAACACTACCGTATATTATTTTTTAAGCTATCTTATTTTTTGAAATTTTATTCAAATCTTTGGTCGCAAGAAGAATTGCATGATAAATAAAAACATTTAATCAAAGTCAATTTTATTTTTCATATTCAAATGGACTGAGTGTTAACATTTAACATTTTTTAAAGGTAACTAAACTCCTTTCGCCGATCCGATTTGCCCCATATTTAAAATATAGCTTGCATATGTAGAAGAAAAGCTAATTTTGAAGTACGCCCGAAATCCACCAACAGGATTTCGAGCTACTAAAAAGGTACTTTTAAATGTGATTTTTTTATAAAAAATTAAATTTATTTTAAGATCAGACTAAAAACTAATTTTATGGAAAATCTATATCGACAAATTTATTACTTATTGGGTATATAGATTTTTTGATTATGGCGATTATGTCTGATATGCTTCCAATAAGCCAAAACACATTTCATACTGATTTCTATAAAAGGTATCTTTATTATAGAAGTGTAAGCTATATCTGTTTGTTTTTTTATTATAACAAATTCAAAATTCTCTTATAAGGACTAGATGAAATCTGTATTATTAAATCATTAGCTAAATGAAGGTTCAAATAGAAAGTAAATATCAATTTATATGATACTGAAACCAAATAGTTCTTTTAATAAAAGATAACACGCTGAAAATTATTGAGTATTTGCAAATCTCAAAAATCTATTGGTGAATTTGGCTCAACTTTTAAAATTATAACATCCATATCAAATCATAAAAGCAGACAAAAATTAAAGCCAAACCTATCGGCCAATTTTTTTTGATATTTTGATTTTTGAGGTATACTTTTAAAAGTGGATTTAAAGCACTTATGAAAAAACATTAACTTCTGTCGTTATGATTATTGATTTAGACAATAATGATTTTAATCTTTGATTATCAAAACACTAAAGTCATCTTTTTAACATTTGCTTGGTAGCATTAACTCAAGTCTAAAGTACTATTTTATGTGGCACTCTTAGAATTTTTGTATTCATTGTACACGCTGAAATAGTACCATTAAAGTTATGGCGGACTTTCAAAAAATAGTTTGGTCACCTTTATATTGTTGGAATTTATGCTGAAAGCCTGAAGTTAGATATTGCAATGATAATTTCTCCTCGTTTAAAGTTGTAAGGAACAAATATATTTAGTGTATTTTTTGTTATTAAAAATATTAAATTTATATCAAGGTCAAAATGACCCATAAATCAAATAAAATGCTTTATTTCAATGGCTTATAAGTAGATGTGCTAAAGCCAAGTCTTTACATTAGTTTACATCTCTTCTCTACTCTTGGAATAAAAAAAATTGAGAAAGGGACAGACTAGCCCATTGTCACTTTTTAATTTAGCAAATGAACGCTTATGGAGTGGAGTTTTTGGGTAAATCTGATTTGCTTATAAATGAAATAAAATCAAAAGAAACCATATTGGCATTATATTATGCAAAAATAAATGATCTTACTTAGTACTTTTAAAGTTAATTTCAGAAAAAATTTGACACAATGGTATCCGGCACATACAAGTGGTGTACAACCAAAATATAAGTTGGTTTAAACATATATTGCTATATCTCATGATCTTACTTAGTACTTTTAAAGTTAATTTCAGAAAAAATTTGACACAATGGTATCCGGCACATACAAGTGGTGTACAACCAAAATATAAGTTGGTTTAAACATATATTGCTATATCTCATGATCTTACTTAGTACTTTTAAAGTTAATTTCAGAAAAAATTTGACACAATGGTATCCGGCACATACAAGTGGTGTACAACCAAAATTTCATATCCCTAGTTTTACATTTATGTTTAGTTTTATTTCACCTAATTTTCAAAGATCATAATTGAATTAGATGGCCAAGCTATTCAAAACACGACCAAGCTTATCAAAATAAGACCAATATATTCAAAATTCTTTATTCTTTCAAATCATTTCATTTTAATGCAGATCCAAGATCACGAACTCACATATATCGAGTTGCTTAAGTATGGAGTGCAACAAGAAATCCAAGCAGGTTGTAGTTATTCATATAAAACTAGGAAAGAAAGAAATCAAATCCAATTTAATTGTAAGTGGCCGAATTGTCCATGTCGCTTCCTTGTTGATACACTTCCCGATGACAAGTACCACATACGAAAATGTATTAACACCCACAATCATTCTGCCCCTTTTCCAAACAAATCACAACAAATTACATCATATTTTTATAGATCTTATTTAACAAGATATTTTGAATCAAATCAAGACCGTGTTTACGCACAATTAAGGTGTTTCAAAGATCTTAATATCCCATTTGATAGTGGGATCATTCCGGAAATGTTTCAACAATCTACAGATGCTTTAAAAAAGTTTTCTAAACGCCTTCATGCAATCAATACCCGTTTCTCAGCGGATGATGTTACATCTCTTGCAATTTTTGTCGACATGGTTAAGAGTCATTCTCCAGATGATCTCATCGAGTTTATTCACGAGCCAGATCGTATGATTTTCTATTACGCCCCATTCGAAGCAAATGCTTTTTCACATCAAATACAAACTTATCACATTGATTCCACTTATAAGCTCTTGCGCTCTCGCATACCATTTTATGCCGTCACTGGCAAATTCGCGGAATCAATTGTTTTTCCGTTTTTGTATTTTTTCGTTTGGCCCGACACAAGTGAAAATATACAAGTTTGTCTCACAGCATATTTTGGCTCCATCAATCGCGAACCATCTTATTTTTCAATGGACTGCGCACCTCAAATCACAAATGCTGTTGAAACAGCCATCCCCTTATGCCAGATCATTTGGTGTGGCGTTCATGTGTTGCGCACTGTCATGAGAAAGGCTGAAAAGTTTCAAGATCGTTCCAACTTCGAAACTTTCTATAACTTAATGAAGTTATTGGTCTTTGGTTCTGAAGAGGAAGAAATTGATCCTGATGAAGTTTACAACAATTTAGAAGAAATTTTAAATGAGGAACCTGCTGCCCGTGAATACTTTGACCGACAGTGGCGCCATCATCTTGACAAGTGGATGCTTCGCTATATAAATGAAGGAGATGGAACAAACAACATCTCGGAATCACATTTCAAGGTTTTGAAGCACCAGTACTTCCCAGAAAGGCGAAATCTTCGACTCGATGAACTTGTCATCGAGTTATATTCCAGTGTTGTTCCTTCATTCCTGATTAAGTTGCAAATTAAAGGTCTGGATTCAGAGAGAAGTGTTAAAGTTATCAAAAAAGTCACAAGAGATTTCGAAGAAATGACACAATTTAAAAAAGTCGAATGCATCAGTATGCTTGAAGCTGTTCAGAAAGGTCTGAAAAATGATACACTTGATCCCAACATTGTTTACTCAACATTAAAAATATTATTGCAAAGAAAACATTTGATTTAATAAACATTTAATTTATTATAATTAATTTTTTATTACAGTATAGTAAAAAATGCTATAAATAAATTATTATATTTTATTAAAATGTGACTTTTAATAGTAAGTGAATAAAATAAATCAGGAATTGAGAAAGAAATAAGGTTAATTAAAAATAATGAAAATTACAAGTTTAAGGTTAATGAAAAAGTGACAATGGGCGAGTTTGTCCCCCACTCAAAAAAATTCAATAATGAGTGCTGATTTCGATAAAGCTTTAGAATGTCTAAAGACTGATGATATTGATTCATTCAAAAGTCTTGTTCCTTCTAAAGTTCCTTTAACAGCTGTGGTATGTTTTTAATTCTAACTACTTAGAAAAATCGAATTTATCAAAATTTTATAGAACTCTTCTTATGTATTCAATTATTGAGCATGCAATTGTATGTTTTCATTACCTAGTGGAAAATGGTGCTGATACTAATGCAAAAGACATTCAATTTCAATTCAACATATTCTATATCTTATAACCGAAAGTTCAAATGTACTTAATGGGATTCATTTTTAACTCAGTATTCCGCTATTCATCTCGCCGTTCAAGATAATTTGATGCCGTATTTATTAATTCTCTTAGAATACAAAGTAAATGTTAATTCGAAGGATGGCACAGGTATGACTCCTTTACATTGGGCAGCTAGAATGCAAAATCGAGATATGATTAAGCTCTTACTTGATTTTGGTGCAGATCCTAACATACAAGACTTTGAAGGCGCTACTCCACTGCACATAGCCGCTGACACAGTATCATATGACTGTGTTGAAACATTAATTATTCATGGTGCTAATCCAAATATCAGAAATGAGTTTGGAACCAAAGCCATTGAGTTAATTAAAAAGCGTGGGCATGATAAAGCGCTCGAAAAATCAAGATTTTAAGAAATATATTTGGTTGTTTAAAATTAATCTGTTTAAAACTTTAGCAATATTAATGGAATGTCCCTGAATGAGTTTATCAATATGTTATAGCATTGCTCAACTTTTCATTTGCTTTTTTTTCAAAACAATAAGATTGTCACTTTTACCAATCAAAATATTTGACAGAATTTTTTATCGTTTAGATAAATGAAACCAACTTCTCCACGTAGAGGGGATTCTCCAAACAAATCATTCAAGGATGATAGTCAATATACCGAGAAAATTGCTCTTCTTGAAGGAGAGCTTCAGGAAGCGCAGCGTTCCAAATTTAAACTTTTAAAGGAGATCGTTGCTCTCAAAAAAGGCCAATATGTTGAAGAAATTATCAAGCTGAGAAAAGAAATGTCAGAAGTTAAAGCAGCTATTGAAGAATCTTCTAAAAACAGCGAAATCATTGAACAATTAAGAGCCGAAAACGATCAATTACTTCAAATCAGAAACCAGCACGAAACTGATATGAAGTTAATTGAGGAATGCAAGACTATTTCACAAAAGGGCGATGCTTCAGAGGCTTTCTACGATAAACTTGATCGTCTTGAAGAGGAAAACGCAGAGTTAAGGCGCAAACTTGCTGAACAAAAAGAAAGCAACGATGAAATTTTCGAAAAGGCTGAAGATGCTGAAAGAATTGGTATCATTATCAAAAATTCGGACATTTCATTCACTCCTAAGGAAGTTTTAATAGCATTAAAATTCCGTTTACATCAACTTCAAGACGAGCATGATGCTCTTGTCGATGAAGAAGAAGATTACGAAGAAGAAGAGATAAATGAAGAAGATGTGCAAGAACTCAGAAAGCGTATCAGCCAATTAGAGCTTAGAAATGCCCAGCTCAACAAGGTTGCCTCTCCAAACTCTTCAAATACTGCTTCTCCGCAGAAAATTGAATCCATTATTCGCGAAATCAACTCAATCAAGGAAAAGAATGAAGCTCTTCGTGCTTCTGGAGCATCAAAGGGTATCGGAAAGACAAAAGAATACCAAGAACTTACGAAAATTTACCAAGATTTACTAAATCGCTCCCCATCAAAGCAGGATGCAAATGGAATACAGCGCCTCTTCAAGGCTATCGAAGCCCTTACAAACCGTGTCGATGCAGAGCTCTCCAGCGATGAATACTCGATAACAGATGATAATGAAAAAAGTGACAAAGAAAACGATAGAATTGAAAACCTCAAAGCACAGATCGAGCATCTTCAAAGCAGGTTAGAAGTGCTTGATCGTAAGGAAGCTCCAGCAGATGCAGCTACTCTTTTCCGCGAAAACCGTGAATTACGAGAAGAAATTATTGCTTTGAAGAATCAGCTCTCTCAGGTCGAAAACATCGAAGAACCAATGCTTGGAGAACGTAATTATGACGATTATCCATTCAAATTCGATAGAAAAGGATTTAATTTCTACGATGGAAAGAATGAAGTAGTTTTCAACGATATTGAGGAAGAGGATCAAGAAGAAGACTTCGGAGATGCTAAGGAACCATTCAGAAGTAACGTTGATATCGACAATGACGAACCAATCGGAAAATACGAAGAAGAAAAAGAGGAAGAGGAAGTAAAAAGTGACAACTTAAATAGCGATGATGAAAAAGACCATAAAACATTCGGAGGAACGAAGATGACACAAGAAGACTACAGGAGACTCATGATGAAAACACTTTCTCAACAATCTGACCACACAGATAGCGAAGAAAACGATCTCGGAGTAGAATGGCAGGATCTTACTGATGAAGAAGAAGAAGATCAAGAGGAAGAGTCTATTCAATCGGCTCCAGATTTCTAGATCTAATTCATGAAAAAAAAAACTTTTTATTTTATTATTTTCTTTTTAGGTATTGAGTTATGTCAAATTGATGAAGTTTATACTTATTTGTCACATGTAAAAGCAAATGTTTCTTTGATCTTAAAGTTTTTTTTTACAAAATTTTAATTTCCACTATAAACTGTTTCTTTCGCCTTTAATGTAAAAACTCATTCAGGTATTCATTAAATTCAGAGCAATCACATATCAAATTGAAATAAAATAGGATAATTCATTTGTGATTACTAAGTATTTGCCTGTTTCCATTCAACACATCTAACAAGAAATAATATAAGTACATTCTACATGTAATACTAAGAATCTCTTATTGAATAGGTTAAATTGCTCAAAAACATATTGAATCATTTGAATGATTCTAGTTTTATAATGATTTATTCGAAAGCATCAAACAATGGATTCAATTGATACTGAGAATTAACTAATATCTATCCAATTTCAATTAATCATTAGTTGATTTTCAAATAAAAAAAAGTTATTGAATTTGTTCAACAGGAATCCTTAATTATTTAGTTTAAAGATATTGCTCAAGGCGGTGGAAGATATCAGCGCAGCGGCATGAGTACATCCACTCGTTATCGTACCAGGAGAGAACCTTGACGAGTGTGCCCTGGCCTTCTGGGTTTGGAAGAACCTTTGTGGAGAGAGCATCAACGATGGATGAGTACTGGCAGCCGATGATATCGGATGAAACGATTGGGTCTGTGACGTATGTCATGATGCCCTTGAGGGAGCCTTCCTCTGTAGCCTTCTTGAGGGCAGCGTTGACTTCCTCCTTTGTGACCTTGGCGTTAACGTTGACTGTGAGGTCGACGAGGGAGCCTGTGATTGTTGGGACACGGAGAGCGAAGCCATCGAGGGACTTTGGTGGGAGACCGTGGCAAACCTTTGGAAGAGCGATAGCAGCACCTGTGGATGTTGGGATGATGTTCATGCCAGCAGCACGAGCACGGCGGAGATCCTTGTGCATTGTATCAGCGACAACCTGATCGTTTGTGTAGGAGTGGACTGTTGTCATGAAGCCGTTGCGGATTCCGAAGGCGTTGTTGAGTGTCTTAGCGACTGGGCCAAGGCAGTTTGTTGTGCAGGAAGCGTTGGAGATGCACTTTGTCTCTGGCTTGAGATCTTCATCGTTGACACCGAGAACGAGTGTGCATTCGATCTCATCAGCAGATGGGACGGAAAGGACAACCTTCTTAGCACCAGAAACAAGGTGGCCATCATAACCATCCTTTGTGATCTTGCCTTCAGCATCCTTCTCGGCCTTTGTACGGAAGATACCTGTTGACTCGAGGACAACATCGATGCCGAACTCCTTCCATGGGAGCTGGGATGGGCCAAGGCGGCCACCGATGGACTTAACAACCCACTTGTCAGCGCCTTCACCGACTGTGAATTCCTGCTTAGCCTCATCGACTGTGACTGGTTCTGGGAAAGCACGGTGAGCTGTATCGTACTTGAGGAGGTAAACGTTTGTCTTGATGTCACCAAGATCGTGGATAGCGACAACTTGGACATCCTTTGGGTAGAGCTTGCGGCAAGCGCGGAAAACGAGACGGCCGATTCTGCCGAAACCATTGATAGCAACCTTAACAACCATGTTTAGGTGAAAGTGAGATGATATTTTGTCTCTCAAATTTGAGAGCACAATTTGAATGATGGCTGGTCATATCACATAGAATTTAATGGGTAACATCAACCATATTCCATATATGGTGCTCATCACGAATATTAGCAATTGATGCTTATATTGAGCGGTTTTTCATCGTTGATTTTCAAATTTTCAGGGAGTAGGGGTAATTTTAGCTAAAAGTGACACACCTGTAAAAAGTGACACACCCGTGAAGGGTGTGATTACCGATCGGTAATTTCGACAGTTTAGAATTTAAAAATTTTTATGGAACTGTTGCGAGTTTCATAAAGAATTTAAGGAATATAAGCAAAGATTTGAATCAAAATCTTAGACCTAAGCCGCTCGATTCGCTCGCGGCTTCCGCGAATTACAGATCAGCAAAGATTTGAATCAAAATCTTCGAACTAAGCCGATCGCTTCGCTCGCGGCTTTCTTTATTATTTTAAATTTGCATATTTCCATCAAAAGTTCATAAGGTAAAAAATTTTGTTTATTTTTACTAAGAAAAAAAAGGTTTTTGATAATAAATTTATTTTATTTCGAAAAAGTAGCAATAATCGTAAAAGGGTATTGATAGGCTTGCTAAAGTAACTAATTTTAGCTGTCAAATACTTTTGTATTTTGAAGTAAATTAGTATAAATTTGTTTTTACTTTTATTTCGAAAAAGTAGCAATAATCGTAAAAGGGTATTGATAGGCTTGCTAAAGTAACTAATTTTAGCTGTCAAATACTTTTGTATTTTGAAGTAAATTAGTATAAATTTGTTTTTACTTTTATTTCGAAAAAGTAGCAATAATCGTAAAAGGGTATTGATAGGCTTGCTAAAGTAACTAATTTTAGCTGTCAAATACTTTTGTATTTTGAAGTAAATTAGTATAAATTTGATATTATTTTAACTCCCTTTGAAAAACTCAATTTTCCATACAGAGGGAACGGGAATAGCATCCAATATTCCCTGAGAATGGTTGCGCATTCTCAGTTCCCTCTATATTTCGAACGAAGCTCTCATCGGTCTTTTTTTTTAATACTAAACGTTTTTTTTTCCCTATCACTTTTAGCTAAAATTTGGGTTTGCCATTTTCAGGTGAGGCTTGCTGAAATATTATTTGTTATTCACATAGTAGTGCTTGGCCAATTAATTGTTCAAAATTCTGTGTGAATTCATTTTTTTCACTAGTGAAATAAAAAATATGATTGAATTCACGATACAAAGAGTGTAATGCCAGCCGATTGCGATCAATGCAAATGTGACTCAGATTGTCCGCGCAACTATTGGAATGCCTATATTATTTAATGGCCATAACTCGCACAATAAGAATTCGATTTTTTATTTTTCCTTTGGAGAAATGATTTTAAACTTGGATAAGGATGTCAATTCGGAAAATCGTTTTCATTTTAGGAGAATATAATTTTCCTTTTCGAAAATTTAAAAAGTGAGACGCGCAGGATTCGAACTTTTTTAAAAGTTGATTTAAATATATTCTAGTGTGGATTCTAAGGATAATATCATATTTAAAATAAGAATATACTAGTTTAGGTGGTATAATTTTTTTCGATAAATTTGAGAGCATGTACGTTTAGGACATCAAAAGTGTCAATTCGCTCAGCGAAAGCTGAGCTAGCTTCGTTCTCGAAAGAATAGGGAAGGAGTGAAAGAGAGTGATACAGATGTTGACACATTCATATCATTTCAACAAATTTTGATCAAATTGAAATTCAATGAAATTCAATTCACTTCATATCCTTCAGTCAGTACATTGACATCCTTCTACATCACAATGATAACTCGTGCATCAATAGTTCTACAACTAACTCAGAAAAAACAAGATTTTTACTTCCAGCCTACAGCTTTTAAAAAGTTTCGATGATAAAAATCACTCTACTCTTGTTTATCGATATGTTGTGATAGTAGGTAAACGTATTCTTATCAATATTAATAAAAATATTTTTACGAAAATCTGAACCAATTACAGAGTTATTCATAAAGTTTATGATAACTGTAATTACTTCATCTTTGTTTTATATTTGAATAAACAATTTAATTTAATTTGCATAATTTTTTTAGTTGAAAGACATGAAACTTAGTTGAGTTTGTATTATTTTTATCGTTCAATTCATTGTATATGTGAGTGATCCAGATATTTAAGATATTTAGAAAAAATTTATTAATTTGATTAACAAATTTTAATCAAAATAGCAAAAATCTATTTGATAGCTGTAAGCAAACAATAACTTTTATTTCAACCAAAATCACTTATTTTCATCTAAACGTATAAAATTGTCAATTTTATGAGAATAAATTTAAAATCTCATGAAATATAAAGGAGAGTAATATTTTTCAATTTTCTTTTTTTCTTTGTCTCAAATATTTTCTGTTGGGAATTTTCTTGTTATCAAAAAATAATTTTAATATTTGTTTATTTCATTACATACAATAAAATTTTAAAAACTCTATTTCTTCACAAGAAAATTTTTTTCCTTCATATGAAGAAACATTTTGTTCTCCATTTGATGCTGAGTCTAAATCTCGATTTTTGAATTTTCTTCTTTCCAAATTTCTTTTTTCCAAATTAGAAGTTTAATTCAAATTTTCAATAGTTTATATATTTTCTCAAACCGTCTTAGATTTTCTCACTTTTTAGGGATTTTCTCTCAAAATATACAAAAATAGTAATACCAATACATGTGTCTAATATACTTTAAAACCATCGTGATAAAATTCAAAAACGAAGAGTTCTTCTCTCCAAATTTTTTTCAAAATCAAAAAAATGAGATAAAAAAATGCGTTTGGAAAATTCATTTTTAGCATTTTAGGAATTTTCTCACTTTTCTTCCAAATTGACATCCTTAACTTGGACAATTCAAATTTATTGATTGATTAACTTGAAACCGAATTACTCTTATAAAAATTATCAAGTTTTCGCAAAAATTTCGTTTTGCTCGATGAATGATTATAAATGAAAGGCCAATATTTATTAAGTCATGATATCCATATATAACTTTACTTAATTACAAGATGTTGTCCCAATGTTATTGATGGCAAACCCAAATTTTAGCTAAAAGTGATAGGGAAAAAAACGTTTAGTATTAAAAAAAAGACCGATGAGAGCTTCGTTCGAAATATAGAGGGAACTGAGAATGCGCAACCATTCTCAGGGAATATTGGATGCTATTCCCGTTCCCTCTGTATGGAAAATTGAGTTTTTCAAAGGGAGTTAAAATAATATCAAATTTATACTAATTTACTTCAAAATACAAAAGTATTTGACAGCTAAAATTAGTTACTTTAGCAAGCCTATCAATACCCTTTTACGATTATTGCTACTTTTTCGAAATAAAAGTAAAAACAAATTTATACTAATTTACTTCAAAATACAAAAGTATTTGACAGCTAAAATTAGTTACTTTAGCAAGCCTATCAATACCCTTTTACGATTATTGCTACTTTTTCGAAATAAAATAAATTTATTATCAAAAACCTTTTTTTTGAGGATGTTTTATTGTCGTCTGGAAAAGTGACAAAATTATTATTGTCGTCTAAAAAAGTGACAAATTATTATTGTCGTCTGGAAAAGTGACAAAATTATCATTGTCGTCTAAAAAATAGATTTTTCAAGCATGTTTCGGTACCTAAATAAAGGAAGAACATCAATTCCATCTATGTATATAGTATGCAAACACGCATGATATATGGAGTAGCCCTTTATCTGGCTAAAAATCCTATTATTTGAAAATTCGCATTGTCGTCTAAAACCGCCAGACGACAATAATAATACCCCTTTTTTTTCTTAGTAAAAATAAAAATGTTATTTTATATCAAGTTTTTATTCATAAATTTTTATAATGTTGTATAAATTTCATTAAAATTTACGTACATATTAAGGTACTTATCTTAATAATGAAGATTTTATTTTGCAATAATATAAACGAAATTTTTTACCTTATGAACTTTTGATGGAAATATGCAAATTTAAAATAATAAAGAAAGCCGCGAGCGAAGCGATCGGCTTAGTTCGAAGATTTTGATTCAAATCTTTGCTGATCTGTAATTCGCGGAAGCCGCGAGCGAATCGAGCGGCTTAGGTCTAAGATTTTGATTCAAATCTTTGCTTATATTCCTTAAATTCTTTATGAAACTCGCAACAGTTCCATAAAAATTTTTAAATTCTAAACTGTCGAAATTACCGATCGGTAATCACACCCTTCACGGGTGTGTCACTTTTTACAGGTGTGTCACTTTTAGCTAAAATTACCCCTACTCTGTTATTGATCATCTTCTATAAATTTTATTAAATTTCTGATGATTTCGATTTTTTAAATTAAATAATTAAAGTATAAATAGTTTGCATTATATTTCATCCATTTTTCCTAAATATCAAAATTTTGAGAGAAATTTTTGGGCGGACACTTATACTAAGAAAAAATTTTGATACTATAAATGCTCGATCTCTAATGTCATTTTTTCAATGGCACGTGACTTCTACAATATACTCGGTGTATCAAGAGATGCTAACGATGATGCAATCAAGAAAGCATATAGAAAACTCGCTATGAAATGGCATCCAGATAAAAATCCAAACAATCAAGCCGAAGCACAAGCAAAGTTTCAAGAGATATCAGAAGCATATAATGTATTAAGTGATCCACAAAAGCGTAAGATCTACGATCAATACGGTGAAGAAGGTCTCAAAGTTGGTGGAAATCCAAACCCAGGTCCACAATTTGATTCCAACAACTTTGGAAGAGCTGGTCCACATACTCAATATTATACATTCAACTCTGATGATGCTGAGAAAATCTTCAGACAATTCTTCGGTCCAGGTGGCTTCGGATTCGGATCATTTGGCGACAATGATGATGTTTTCGGATCAATGTTCGGCAACGCCCAGAGACAAGCAGGTCGTCAATCAAGCGGTCCACAGTACCAAAGATTTACATCTGGAAATAATGGCTTCCCAGGAGCACATTTCCAGCAATTTACAGAAGCTCCAGAAGCAAATGATGGTCTATTCCAAGGCAGAGGCCATCGTATCGGTTCGTTAGACCCTAACTCAAATGATTTCTCAAGATTTTACACTTTCAGAGACAAAGCTGATACAAAACAGAAGAAATCACAATCACCAATGATTGTCGATGTAAACTGCACACTTGAACAGCTTTATTCCGGTTGCACAAAGAAATTAAGAGTTACAAGAGATATTAACGGCAAAAACGATGCCAAGCTTTTCCAGATCGATGTGAAACCAGGTTGGAAGGAAGGAACAAAGATCACTTATGATGGTGAAGGTGATATTAAGCCAGGCTACAAACCACAAAATCTAGTCTTCGTAATTAAAGAGAAACAACATCCATTGTTCAAACGCGAAGCTGATGATTTGATCTACGAACAGACAATTCCATTGAAACAAGCACTTGCAGGAACAAGAATTGACATTACAGGTGTTGATGAAAAGTCAATTAACTTAAGCTTCAACGAAGTCATTTCTCCAGGATTCTCAAAGAGAATTCCAGGCCTCGGAATGCCAAGAAAGGCTGGAGGAAGAGGTGATTTGGTTGTGAAATTCAACGTTGAGTTCCCTAAGTACTTGTCTCAGGAACAGAAAGATGCTATGGTAAGATATCTTCCAAACTAAGCTAAGTTTTTTGTTTATTCCTTTGTTTACACTTTGTTTTACGAATAAATTTTAAAATTTTTGTTTAATTAACACATTTAATTGATAATATCTTTTAATTACTATGTTTTCATGTTGTTTTGAGATCATATTTATAACAATTTACATATAATTTATTCGTTCAATAGAATTGTCATCAGCAATTCATGTAAAAATGTGTATTTTGATGAACAAATTCATAACTATCTTTCTTTGATGTATTGTTTCTGATATGTCATAAAAATACACATTAATCTAAGTTTTGGACGCATATTTGAAATGAGATAAAGTTTATTATATATGATTTCAAAGCAATTATAATGTAGTTGAACATAATATCCGTTTTCATACATAACAATGCTGAAGTTATTATAATACTTGATCATGTCAAATATCCAATAGAAACAATACTTGTTTTTGTGACGCAAAAATGTTGAACTATATTACACTCTAGATAATAAATATGGTTATTTTGATTATCCAAGAAAATAACTGAGAAGTTTCATTTTTTAAAAATAATCATATATATTTATAGGTTGAGTAATTCACGCAATGCACATCTAGTATTTATCATGAAGTTTGATCTCAATATGTTATTGTGCTTTTAAAATATTGAAGTCAAAGGTACTTTCATTCTGTCTCATAATTGAAAATCTAATTAACGTGATCTTGCACTGGAAATTGATCTGCTTGTTGGGAGGCATATTATTTCCAATGAAAATATGGGAATATCTTAACTGTTTGAAACAATATAATTTCAAATTAACATGGTTGTTTTTAAACGAAAAAATGTCACCAATAAATGTGAGTTGAAATTTAGATAAATTTATGAAGATGAATACGGTTGAATAGTTAGTAATTTGATGAAATGTTATACTGTTACATACGGAATGGGGTAAATTCGGCAATTAAAGCCTGAACCTTTAGGCTTATAGATGAATATCGGAGAAAAACGATCATCTCGTGCACAATTTTCGAGAATTGTTTGAGATATGTTTTTTCGATCAATTTCCAACTTACAAATCTGTTTTCGTTTTACTACGTGATATGTTATTCGAAATTACACCTCATCAACAATTTGAAAAGAGAAACCAGGATAAAATTAAAAAGCGCAAATATGCATTAATTATCTATGAACAATAAAATAAAAGCAAAACCAATTGAAAGAAGTTTTGAATAGAAAGTCTCATCACACTTTTCAATGCTCGATTTTTAAAAACTGTTTAAAAATGGAGCTTATATTGAAATAGTGTAGAGACTAAAAATTACCACAGACTATTTCAGAGGATTGAGTTGCCACTCAATCCTCTGAAAAGTCTGAGGTAATTTGCAAAGTTAATTAGCCAACTAAATATTTTATATAGATAACTTTTGCTATTGTGTATATTTGGAATTCTCAAACAGTATTAATAATCCACAAGTGAATTTGAAGCATGTAAATTTTTGGGGTTTAAATTTTGAACTTCGGTAATTTAAGTCAAAATTGCATAATTTTATTAATCATATTATACTGAGCAGATAAATATTTCTTCATAAAATTTTGTAAGAGATGGATTTCTGAAAAGTTAATCGTAATGTACACGATTTTTTCAATACAATTGGGTACTATTAGAAAATCGTATCGTTCTTTTAATCTGGTTGCTATTTTAATTGTAATATCATTCGTGTGAATATTTCGAAATTTTTCGTTTTAATTTTACGTGTCTCGATAGAAATTTTTGAAAACCAAAGATTTTTGATGTGCGTGACGAACCACAAGATCAGGTTCGAAATGCGAGAAGGTTTTAATATATTCGAAGTAGATGGTGATGTATATCCTCGCGTCTTCACTATCCTATTTAAACAGAAAGCGAATCTTGTTTGGTTAACTCAACAACTTGGAAGAGCCAACAATAAAGCCCCATCGAGAATCATTACCGAAATGATCGAGCTTGCGAAATCGCTTATCCAATGCAGTTACGCAGATCTTTTTACTACAACCACAAATATTTTACGAAGGTGTCAAGAGTTATTCACAGAGAAAGATATCACAAATGAAGAAAAGAATTTCGCAAATTCGATTCTTAAGTTTACTTATACTATTTCCAGAATTTTCAGTCAAAATTCATCCAAAATCCAAAATAGTAAAGCAGATAGCGAATATCATGTACTCGAAGAGGAAGAGTCCGAGCAAGAGGTTGATGAAAATGAATGTGTTCTATGTAGAATCTGCGAACAATTAATTCCAATCAAACTTTTACACGCCCACAATCAGAGCTGCCTCAAAGCATACGAATCCGAGTTCAACATGATAACTACCGATGAAAAAATCAGAAAACTACAGAATTTCATATCAAAAACAACATTAGATATTCCATGGCCCGGAGAGAAAGAAAAAGCCATCACAACAATTCTTCCTATTTTCCATTGTTTGTTATTACTCGATCACGCGTTAAATGGTGAATCTGATACCATTGATCACGTATACAATACGATCAAATTTATTCGAGTTCCATCTGAAGACCATATCCTTACAAGAGCCAGGAATCTTGTTCTAGAGAAGATGAAGGCTGCTCAGAACTACGCAGAAGCTTCCCAAAGATCACAAATGACTCGTTTAAGAAAAACAGATTTCGGAGTTCCAAGTTTACAAACAACCATCGCAGATTTCACTTTTATCAAGAGAATATCGAGCGGTGCTTACGCAAAAGTTTATTTAGCGGAGAAAAACAGCACAAAAGATACTTACGCAATAAAAGTTACTCCAAAGTCAGAATTAAGACAGAAAAACGAGGTCAGAAGAGTTCTTACTGAAAAAGATATTCTTCTCAAAAATTCAAACCCTTATATCGTAGAAATTTATTATTCCATCATCGGAAAACACAATCTGTATTTGGTTATGGATTTTGTACCCGGTGGCGATCTCTACTCCTTATTACAGAACATTGGAACTCTTGATGAAGATTCATCTCGAATTTATATCGCGCAAATCGTTCAAGCTTTGGATTTCCTTCACGGAAAAGGCATATTACATCGAGATCTCAAGCCAGATAACATTTTAATCTCCTGCGAAGGAAAATTAAAACTTACGGATTTCGGTTTGTCGCTTTATGGAGCTTTTGACCGTGGAAACAGTGAAGGCCTTGTTGGAACACCAGGATACATGGCACCAGAAATCATTTTATCGCAGCCACATAATCAATGTGTTGATTATTGGTCTTTAGGTGTCATTTTATTCGAATTGCTTACTGGAATTCCACCTTTCAACAGGGCAACTGAGCAGGAAACATTCCAGGCCATCGTTTCCGGAAAATGCGATTGGTCATTATTGGAAGACGTTTCAAATGACGGAATTGACTTCATAAGAAAGTTGCTTACTGTTGATCCTTCGAAACGCCTGGGAGCGAATGGAATTAGCGACATTAAAAACCATTCTTGGTTTAAATCAATTAATTGGGACAAAGTTGAGGAACTCCCACCGCCTTTTGTTCCTAAAGTGACTCGTAATAGCACAGAATACTTCGAAGAAAGATACGAGTTCCTTAAAAGCGATGTAATCGAAAAAGATATTATTGAAGATATAGAAGATGCCAGAAAGGTCGTTCCTAGATCTGTATCAATGACTGACCTCTCTAAGCAGCAAAGCTTCATGAGAAACTCAGATTCTGACTCTTCAGACGATTCAGAGATTATTGAATTGTATCAGTCTATTTCTCTCAAGAACTTATCAAGAAAGAGCACAAATGCTGTAAAAACTAGAAGAATTAGCAGCAAAAGTGAAGATAAGACGTTTTATAAGCTTGGAACGTCTAATAGCTTCTGTTTACCACCACCTATTCCTACTAAATAATTGTTTTGTACTTTTTTGCGTATTTTTGATTATGTTATGTATTATAAAGTTGTTATATTATGTGAAATCTTGACTTTTTTCAAGTTGTGCCTATAATGTCATGTGGACATTAAGCAACAAAACTCATTGGTGTAGAAAATTTAATCATTTCGGATTCAAAACGAGTCATCGAAAATAATCAATCGCTACGTTCCTATAGATCAATAAATTTCGTTAAGTTTGTCTATGATATAGTTGTTTGAGATCGTTATTTTAAGTAACGAATTTAAAATTTCGAATAAAAATCTGGTATATATATGAGATAAACGCTCGATTTACTGTCTAATGCTCAAAAATGTATTGATCTCTTCTTTCTTGGTCTAGACCAAAAGATAGCTCCTCCAAATTTTTCTTATTTTCAAGGAAATGAAGACAAAACACTATAAAATATAAATGAAAAAATCATTTTTGAATTTTTTTTGGAAGTTTTTAAGTTTGATTTCATTAATCTCAAACATAAACAAGAATTCCCTTGATTCTAAATAGGTAAATTATCATTAATTTATGTTTAGAATCTCGAGATGCTTACGAAATATGAAATTATATCAAAATTTATGAGACGATTATATTGATTATCGTAAAAATCGTTCATGGCTCAAACATTTGTGTATTACATTAATTAATTTAACATAAAATTAAGAAATTAAATATAATAAGTTTACGTATTGACAGTCGTAAAAATTATTTTGGTTGGTTGATAGTAATTGAGTATCCCTGCTGTGGTGGATATCCTGGTTGTCCTGGATAGCCGCCCTGTGGTGGATAGCCTTGTTGTGGTGGGTATCCCTGCTGTGGAGGATATCCCTGTGGAGGATAGCCACCTTGTGGTGGGTAAGCTCCTGGTGCTGGTGGGTAAGCACCCTGTGGTGGATAGGCACCTGGTGGTGGATAGGCACCTGGTGGTGGGTAAGCGCCTGGTGGTGGATAAGCACCCTGTGGTGGATATCCTGCTGGTGGTGGTGCAGTTACATTGATAGTAATTGGGCCTGTTGGAGCACCTGGAACTGTAGCGCCTGGAACTGGTGCACCACCAATGACTGCGTTTTCAAATGGCTTCATATTCTGAGTGGCCAAATGAATGACAAGGTGAATTTGGCCTGCGCTTCTGCCAGCCTTGTAGGAGTTAAGCATGTACCACTTGTCGACAACCTGGCCGACATTGAACTCTTGCTGGTTGAAGTGGATGTAAGCGAAGGCATCATTTGAACCAATAAAATCATAATCGACAACTGTGATGTTAAGTGGGGCCTTTGGGTTGGTAACTGGAATGCTGAAGGTTTCATTCCAGACTGGATTGTAGGATTTCTTGATGACTTTAGTCTTACACTTTTCGTTGCCAAGCTGGATCTGAACGTATGGATCGACCTTTCCAAATGTATCGACCTTTGGGAGATCTTTGGCTTCAATGACCTTGATGTTGAATGTAAGTGTCATTTATCAAAAATGATTTATAACTGGCTTTTCTATTCGCTGTTTCAGAAAAATTTCTAGCCAGTTCACTTTTGTGAAATAATCCAATTGTAAAAAAATTATTAATATATTATACAAGTATTAAAATATCAACAAAAGTTTAGATTAAATGATCGTAACTTGAAATTTTTCTTCCAAAAAACGTGCGAAAGTTTAATATAATGATATTGTAATAAACAGAAATTCATCAAAAGTGACAGCTCTCAATTTTTTGACATTTGTAAATTCTAAATTGAATGAGAAAAATGAAATAATACTAAGCATAATACAATATTCTAGATTTAATTATAATTAGGAAAAAGTTAGTTTTGAGAGTACTTTTCATAGGCATATAGAATGAAATCTTCTGAAAAATCAAATTCAATGATCTTAAAAGCGAATAATAAACCTCAAAATTTACGAATAGAATGAGTGGGAATATAATGCTTATCTATCATAAAACCATATGAAATATCAATTTTTGCTTTACGCCTAATTTTTGACGACAATTAGCAAAAAATGAAAGGTGACCAAACTATTTTTTGAAAGTCCGCCATAACTTTAATGGTACTATTTCAGCGTGTACAATGAATACAAAAATTCTAAGAGTGCCACATAAAATAGTACTTTAGACTTGAGTTAATGCTACCAAGCAAATGTTAAAAAGATGACTTTAGTGTTTTGATAATCAAAGATTAAAATCATTATTGTCTAAATCAATAATCATAACGACAGAAGTTAATGTTTTTTCATCAGTGCTTTAAATCTACTTTTAAAAGTATACCTCAAAAATCAAAATATCAAAAAAAATTGGCCGATAGGTTTGGCTTTAATTTTTGTCTGCTTTTATGATTTGATATGGATGTTATAATTTTAAAAGTTGAGCCAAATTCACCAATAGATTTTTGAGATTTGCAAATACTCAATAATTTTCAGCGTGTTATCTTTTATTAAAAGAACTATTTGGTTTCAGTATCATATAAATTGATATTTACTTTCTATTTGAACCTTCATTTAGCTAATGATTTAATAATACAGATTTCATCTAGTCCTTATAAGAGAATTTTGAATTTGTTATAATAAAAAAACAAACAGATATAGCTTACACTTCTATAATAAAGATACCTTTTATAGAAATCAGTATGAAATGTGTTTTGGCTTATTGGAAGCATATCAGACATAATCGCCATAATCAAAAAATCTATATACCCAATAAGTAATAAATTTGTCGATATAGATTTTCCATAAAATTAGTTTTTAGTCTGTAGGGTTGTACAAACTGGCACAATTTTGCGGGCCGCGTGCCAGGAGCTGGCACGCGGCCAAAATCAAAAAAGTGGCCAAAAATCGGGCTCCACCCTTTCCACGCCACTCGGCCTATGACCACAATTATATAATATGCTCATTATTATTTTTTCTTCTTTTCTCTTCTTTTTTTTTTCTTTTTCTCTTTTCTTTCTTCTTTTTCCCTTTTCCCTTCCTTTTTTTCTAGTTTTGGAAAGGAAAAAGTAAAAAATTTAATAATTAATTTTATTACTATGAAAATATACTTTTTAGCTTATATTGTAAGCTGTGAGAGTTTTAAGTGATGGAAGATATAAATCAAATTTGAAATTCAACAAATCTTGTTATGATTAAGTTGAATATTGTACTCTAATTAAGAGTTTTCAGTTATGAACTCAGGTATTATATAATAAAAGTATAACTCAAGATAATAAAGAGGTTTTTAAAATGTAGATCTGAAAATCAAACTATGCTTGTTTGATATGATTAAGTTGAATAATGTTATTTTATTAAATGGTTCAAATCTGTGAAATCGGCAATTACAAATTAAAGGCGTAGTTCAAAAAATTAAAGAGATTTTAAAAATTTAATATCAGAATTAAACTAAAAAAAGGATTTAGTTATTTCAGTAATTATCAGAAAAGGTTAAAAAGATAGGAGTAAGTAATGAGACTTGAGTGAGATGTGAGAAAATCAATAATGTAAATAATTAAATCTTAGAAAATCGAGAGAGTAAGTAGTAATGAGAGTTAAGATCTGGTTAGTAAGGTAGTAATGAGAGTTAAGATCTGGTTAGTAAGGTAGTAATGAGAGTTAAGATCTGGTTAGTAAGGTAGTAATGAGAGTTAAGATCTGGTTAGTAAGGTAGTAATGAGAGTTAAGATCTGGTTAGTAAGGTAGTAATGAGAGATCTGCGGGCAGTAATGATACATCTATGAGTACATAACTAAAACCTGAGTTCTATGAGCGAAATCTGAGAGCTAAAAGCTGAGAGATCTAAGGTAAGTAATGAGAGAAGAGAATTTGAAATTTTACAAAATACGTTTACTCATACAAAATAATTCGCATTCTTTTATAACGAATCTCAATGCCAATTAATACATAAAACAGATTTTAGCAATCAATTGTAAGATTTAGAAAGATTTTATTTATAATCTCAGCCAAATTAACAAATATTTTATTGATTTCGTAAAAAATAGCAATAAAACATAAAAATATGACATTCTATTTTTCCAAAAAAATTTCAAAAATCATTTTTTAACATGAAATTTATATTTTTTAATATTATTTTTTAAATTTTGAATTTTTTTTGGAATTTTCAACCATGTCAAAAGTCGGGATCTACAAATGTATTCTCTTTGACATAGGATAAAAACATCCTTTCTTATAATTTCATTGTAAAATAAAATTTTCTTAAATTTATTGAATCCAAACTCAACTTTGCAACATTTTATTATCATAAAAACTAAGAAACATCAGGTAAACTTCAATTTGGAGAGCTTAAAATCATATCTAAATTGAAAAATAAGGGGAAAAAAATTGTAAAAAAAATCTCATTAGATGGGGCAAAAAGTGACTTTTTTAATGTGTTTTTTTAAAAAATCGTGCCAGCTGGCCAAAAAAGGTGTGCCAGCAGGCGTGCCAGTTTGTACAACCCTATTAGTCTGATCTTAAAATAAATTTAATTTTTTATAAAAAAAATCACATTTAAAAGTACCTTTTTAGTAGCTCGAAATCCTGTTGGTGGATTTCGGGCGTACTTCAAAATTAGCTTTTCTTCTACATATGCAAGCTATATTTTAAATATGGAGCAAATCGGATCGGCGAAAGTAGTTTAGTTACCTTTAACAATATTGTAATTAACGATATAAGCCGAGAAATAACTTAACATAGGGTATGTATCTATATGTAAAGGAGTTATAATATAGTTTCAGACCGGCTGATCAAAATTAATCTCAATAGGGTCAAAATTCCTGTAATCGGCGGATACAAGCATATATCTTGTATTTCCTATCTTTGTGTCACAGCCTGGAATGTATTCTTTCTGTCCATGAACGTGTCCGTAAATACATATATCAACATGAGCTGCTTCAATCATTGAAGTAAAGATATTAGGTTCTCCTTTATCAGAAATTGGTGGGAAATGAAGCATAAGTATTTTCTTGTAAGAATCATCGTATGAAGTTAAAGCTGCAAGTGCTTTCCTCAAGATTTCGAGCTCTTGGTTTTGGTGCTTTCCAAGGCGTCTCATAATACCAACATGACCTTCCCAAGGAAAAGCGCAATTAAAACACCAAAACATTGCTCCGGATATTGCAACATTTCCAATAGTAATAGCTGTTCCTCTAAGAACTTGCATGTTTGGTGGTAAAAGTGTCTCGTAATCTTCTGGATTTCTATCTGCCCATTGATCATGATTGCCTTGACATAAAATCACTCTACATGTTAGTTTTTCAATAAATTCGAAGCTTGGTTGTGCAATATCTGGATTGTTTGCGTTAATTAAATCACCTGGAGCTAATAAAATGTCTTCTTTTTTGAGTTTTTTACATATATTAACACGTAACTTTTCATGGTGATCAATCCATTCTGGTCCATATTGATCCATAGTGTGACCAGGAATGTGCCAATCACTCAATGCATAAAATTTTGTCATTCAGTTATTAATATATCCGTGTAAACATCTCAAATTAAATCTTCAGATTTACACTTCTTTTTACTCTCCGGAAACATAATCTAAGTTCGTTATCATTACCATAGCTCCTCACACTATTTTTAAAGAGAAATCCACTTATAATGCTAGCTACTATACGATAATTTTGATAATATATTTCAATTACTCTCTATTTGTGAATTCGACGAACATTGTAATCTAATTAACACACACATCTATGCATAAATTTTTGCTCTAATAAGTTACAATGACATTCAATAAATTTGGATTTGAAGATATGCTATTCGAACTGGTTTCATGTGTGAAATCATGTTTTATAATCTATACTTAGTAATTACACACACTATTTTAATCTATTCAATCAAAAAATGACGGGGAACCGATCATTCCAATAATTTTGTCACTTTTATAAAATGTCAAGTTACGAAGCTGCTATTGAACAACTTTCAGAGATGTTTCCAAATCATCAAAAGAGCACCATTGCATCGACATTGCGCTCGAAAAATGGTGATCTTCAGAATACAATCAACGCACTTTTGAAAATGAAACCAGATAAAGGACCGAAAGTCATTGAAGATGCACAATCACAACACATATTCCCAAGTGATTTCATGAGATGGCCTAAAGATGTTCAATACGTTAAAGTTTTTACGGATAATAATTCAAATTCACTATTCGATGATGATTCTCAAATGATTCCAATAGAATCAAGCAATGTACCGACTGTTGCTGACGAAAAGACCTTATCTGTAGAGCATTTCAAAGCTACAAATTCATCTACTTGGGAGAGCTTTAAACAGAAGTTCAAACAAGGAAGATCCTACGATCAGATATAATTTATATACTTTTGTATTGTTATTTTTAAATATTAATTCATTTTCGTTCCTTAGTGTTATTTTTGAACTAAATATAGATAATTCAATGAGCATGTACGAGTGAAATGCATAACTCAATGTAATTTTTATAATTGAGTGTCTATATTGAAATTTTTAAATATTTTTCTTGAAATGCAGTATTAGAAAGCTTGCATCTTTTTTTATTTGACAACATCTTCATATGTTTCCTACTTTTGTTCCATTTATTCATAAGTGATGACTTCTTCCTTATCTTTGTTTCTTATGAGTAATGTTAACCAGCTTCCAAACCCTTCAAAACTGTTCAGAATGGGTGATGATGCATATTTTATTTCAAACGAACATAATTCATTCGGAGTTGCAGATGGGTTTGGAGTATTTGATCCAAGCCATGGCGACAATTCATCGTATTGGCCAAGAGAATTCATGAGTTTATGCAAAGAACATTCAGATTTAAGCACATCTTATGAAATTGCAAAAACAGCTTACGAAAATTTAGCAAGGAATAGATCTGGATCAACAACATTCTCAATTGTTAAATTATCACCAGAAAAACTTTACTTCTATACACTAGGAGATTCTTCTTGCGCAGTTCTTAGAGATTATAAACTTGTATTTAAAACAAACAACACAGTTCACGACGAAAACTTTCCATATCAAATAGGTACAGTTAACAATGTTTCCATTGAAGCAGGTACAAAACAATGGGTAATTCCTGAATTTGAAGACACTATTATCTGCGCAACAAAAGGTCTCTGGAAGAATGTTGGTAAGCAAGAAATAGAAAGAATTGCCACCAAATCTTGGATGGCAACAGGAATTCCATATCAATACACAAAATTATTAGCAAAGAATTTAGCTGATGCAGCTGTTATTCATGCAACATCAGTTAAATCAAAAGCTTCTGATTCTGATGATTTCATTCATGAAAATCTTCATGATACAACAGTTGTTGCTTCATATGTTTGCACAAACGAAGACCAATAACTTATATCATACATTGTTATTACTTTATAAATACTAATTCTTAATTATTAGTTTTTATTTTTAAATATTTTAAATTACGACGGAAAAGCATCAAAACATATCTTTCCATCTTCTCATTTTCATAATGTATGATCTCATATTAATCAATTCCTATCAAAACAAATTTCAAAAAATATTTTTTCTTTATTCACAAAAAAAACATGAATTAATTACAGATATCTCTTTGAATTAGGACGTATTTATAAAGTACAGCCAGTAAATTATCTGTTACCATATTCATTTATGCCCAATAATTGATTTTCATAATAAAACAATTGCAAAACAGAAATTTATTATAAAATATTATAATTTACAAACATAAAAACAAAATTATATATCGTATGTAATTGAAACATCATCATCAGTCAAAACTTCCAAAACATCAGGACATAAGCGAAGTAGTACATCTAATTTATCGGAAGTAAGATCTAGATGACTATGATTTGAGTATTTAAAGCTTGTACTTGAATTACTTGTCTTTTCTTCTTCGTCAGATTGGTCAGATTTTAAGTAGATTGGAGATAAATCAAAGTTAATATCGGAATCATTCAGCATAGTTATATTAGTATCAAATGTTACTTCTCTTGTTCTAATTTCAATATTTTGATCATTTGATGGTGAATCCATTGGTTTTTGAGTATGTCCAAATGCATTATTTGGTGGTGTGTCGGGAATTGTCTCTGATTTCGTTTCAGGAATCTTGTTTTCTTTGACAGTATTAACTTTAGTTTTCTTGGCTTTATTTGTATGTTTTTTAACTGATTTCGCCTTAGATTTTACTGATTTATTATCGGTTTTTGTATTTGGCTGCGTTTCTTCAAGACAAGTTGATTTTATATTCTCAATTGCTTTATTATATCGTTCAAGTAAAGTTTTACTATCAGTTGTATTAGATTTTGCTAAATCTTCTTGTTTTACTTTCTGTGACTTTGCTTTATTCTTTCCTGTCGTAATTTTTGAATGTTTAATTTGATTTTTTGTATCATTTGGATCGATGTTGGATATATAGATAGTCTCACCAGGAACTACATCTGATATTGATCGAATAAGTTTGCTTGACGAGGAAAATAACGATTTAAATTTATAATTGTTTAATTTTTTCCGTATTGCTGCCACCAAAGCATCAAATGTTCTTGGAATCACAATTTTAATACCCAAATAGTCATTCTTTTGGTTATCTTTAACGAATATGTAGCTAAAACTTTGCATAACCAAAAAGAATTATTTTTGGCAGTTCTCAATGAAAATTCAAATTTGATAAACAAAGATCTACAAACATATAGAGAATTCGATTATAATATTTTTCTATATTACATCGTTTTATTTATTTCTAATTTTATTTCCGTATGACAATCAATAATTGAATAAAATTATATGCATATTCGGAATAATAATTAAATTGATTGGTTTTAGATGATATGCTATTATAAGTTGTTTTATTATGAAAATGCAATGGCAAGCATGCATATATTCATGATCTTTCATTTGGTTGAGCGAACAATCTATATTTGGAAACGATCTTTATTTGTTTTTATTGATAACTATTAATAGTAGTTTCACTGATTTTCTATATTGTTATCAATGGTATTTTTCTAGTAGAATTGAAATCCAAAACTTTTGAATTCAATATTTGTTATCAAATTCAATTGACTCAATTGCCCATAGGTGAAGGAATCTCTAAAATAGAAACATGGACCAATCATATTGTTTCAAACATGTCTTTTACAAGAAATATGAGATTTTAAGAAAAATGAATATATTATCTCTGCTATTATTACAAGCTTAAAGTTCATCAAATGGGCAGTTGTAACCCACCATTCATTTGCTCAGCAAGGTCATGAATCAATTATTATAACTTTATTTCAATAAAATGTCTTATAATAGCGTTGCAAAAATAGATAATATTTTATACACACATAAATTTACATACTTAAAACAAAAACATATAATGTTTTATTCCAATATTTTGAAACATATGTTATTTTCCAGAACAAATGAAACACCATTGTAATAATGCTCGAGATAGAAACAAATTCATTCTATGTTATCCTAAAATGACTTTTTTTATATCAAATTCTTCAACAATTACTGAAATAAGGTAAATACTTAAAAGAATTTATGTATCTACATAGAACACTTTAGTATGATATCTGGCACCACACTTCCGATAATTCTCCTTACCGCTATTCAATTTTGGCTAAATTTGTGACAAAGGTTAAATTTTTTCATAACGCGGTAGTAAAGTTTTGAATACAATTCAAATTTGATACGATTTTCGGTTGGTAATTACATCATATCATTAATAACAATGAAAGAACTCGCAGATAATCCACTTCTTGATTCACAAGATGAGCTTGAATCAGTAGAGCGCGAAAGTGAAGTTCCTTTTTATAAAAAGAATTATTTTATTTATGGAACTATGATTTGTAATTCTATTTTGATTGGAGCAATCATCAGCATGATCATTACATTTTCAGTTAACTCCAAAGTATCATCTATCTCCAATCAATATGATACACTTCCAAATTGTGAATCATATTCATCATTCACTTGCAATGGTTCATCATCTTCAATGGATTACAAATATTATAATAATACTTGGAACACTCCAAAGCGCGGTCAAGATCTATGGAAGCCAGGATTCCAGGATATGTCTACCTTAGTAGGATATGCACAATTAAAGTATGCTTCTGGAATGAAATCATGCACAGTAAATATTCTTACCAAGACATCAACATCACTCAATTTAACATATTATTTTGATGATGTTGCACAAACATCAAATTCAAAGACATTTGATTCCTCTTACACAAAAACACTCTCAGTCAAAGTTGTTGCCGAATCAGGAGAGACTCTTATACTCGACGGTGTTGACTTCATTTGGAATGTAGCGTCAATTAAGTCTCGTGATTATGATTACAGAAAAGGACAGAAAGGAGCAATTGTTGAACTCTTTGGTTGGCCAGATGATGATGTTGCACAAGAATGCAAGTTCATTGCCGATGCAGGTTACATGGGCGTAAAAATATTCCCACATCAAGAGCAAATCATGTCATATCAACCAATGGAAAACATGATGAATCCTTGGTATTTCATGTATCAGCCAGTATCATATAGATTACAAGGAAGAATGGGAACTCGCGACCAACTTAGAACTATGATAAATACATGCAGAGCTTTAGGTGTCAGAGTTTATGCTGATGCTGTTGTTAACCATATGTCAGGCAATGGTAATGATTTATCAAATCACAGAAATTCAGGTTCAGGTTGCACAACATGGGGAAATAAGACATCATCTGCTTATGAAAATGGTTCTCCATATTATACACCAGCTTACACTTATGAAACAAATCCAAATACAGGAAGAGGAACAAATGTTTTGGAATATCCAGGCGTTCCTTATGGTCCAGAAGATTTCCATTGTGACAAGGCTCTCAACTCATGGAATGATGCAAACATTCTTGATAGCGGTTGGCTTTCAGGTCTGGCAGACTTAGATACATCTAAGGAATATGTTAGACAAAGAATTGCAGATTTCATGATTGATCTCATTTCAATCGGATTCTCTGGATACAGAGTTGATGCTGCAAAGCACATTAGACCAACTGATTTAGCTGCAATCTTTGGCAAAGTTAAGGAAGGATTAGGAGGCTCTTTACCAGACGATTTCATTTCATGGTTAGAAGTTCTCACAGGTGGTGAATCTCAACTATTAGTTCAAGGTGATGGTGATTACTCATTTACAGGCGGATTGACTAAATATCTTAAGGCAAATAACTTCACTGATGATGATGTTCTAAAGATCAAGATTTGGTGGAGCGGATATCCATCTGAGCCAAACAATGATAATGGATCCCTTGACATCAGACGTAAAGCAATTCAAAATGATGATCATGATCAACAATCTGATGGTTCATCATCAAGAGATATGCATGATCAAGGTTGTGTTCTCATCAAAGGATGTGATGCTTCTACACATAGAAGCTTTGAAGTTAAACTGTTCGAATCTCCAAATGGACTATCCAATCAGAATGGTCCTTTCATCATACTATAAGGGAGAAACAGGATCAATGGGTATCCCTGATGGAATGTCAACTTGTGACAAATGCACTACAACATGCTCAGGATGCAAAGATAGGCCATATGTAAAGGCTTATAGTGAGTCTGCTACATCATACCCAGGTGGTAGTGGCTACACATATGTCCACCGCGACTCATCAATTATTAGTGCTATGCAAAACTGGATGAAATTATAAATATTTCATTCTAATTGAAAACTTAACTAAAAAGTACTTTTCTTCAATTAAATATTATTTCTAGCAATACTACTCTATATATATAATATGACTTTTGGCATATCTCCATTAGAAAAAGAAAATCTCTAAAACTTTTCGAATTTTTCGAGTAGGTGACAAAAGTGCATACTCTTAAACAACCGTCGGATTTCCGGGTGAAATCGTGACACACTTTCGTCTTTCGTAGGCAGTGGTGGTTGTTACAAAAGGTAACTTCGAATGTAGCGTGAAATCTGCAAAAAAAATTCTGAAATTTGAATGGAGAACACAAAAATTGAATAGTTTACGTCAATAAAAAAGAGAAAAATGAAGCCAATGTGTCTCGAACCTAGGACTTAGAGCAGCAATCACACTGTTTATAACATTACACTACATGCATCTCTCACCTCAGTGAATGAGATCAACTATATGATAACTTTTTCCCCATTAGATTCTTGTGGAAAAGTGACAAATAGCAACTTTGACCCTCTCTCCGAATTTTTCCCAAAAGTATTGAGCAAATTTACTAGATAGAAGAGAATTGATTCCAGAAAACGATGTTTAAACCTCCTGAAATTTGAGGTTTCTTTACAAAAATTTCAATTAAATGTTTTGCTTTTTACTTTTTTCAGGCATTTCTGCAGATAAAACCCTTTCACTCCCGCATCAAAATGCTGTAACAACATATTGCAGTCAAGTGGATGGTGAAATTATTGAGTTTTTCACTCCAATTGGCGCATCTCGATTTTTAATGACAATTGTCGGCATTTCAGAATATGTAACAAGCTATCTTTACAGAAATGTACTCGATGATGGTGATCCTTTTGATCCATCCCAACAAAATACATTTATGTTTTCAAATCCCGTGGCAAAACTCCAGTTTAATTTTGTTTCAAAAGGTTGTGTTAGCGTTGCATCAACAGAATTTTCGCAAAGCGAATGCTATTCGGGCATAGAAGTCGTTACAAAACTTGAATCTGACGCTTTTTACCAAGTCCAACCAGGAATGGACCGATGTATATTCTTTGCTACAGCGTCAGATGGCATGTACTTCATTGCTAATGAATCAAATTTAGGTTCAGACACTTTAACAGCGTTTAAAACGTCAATAATAGGAAATTACTACATAAAAATGAGAAACTCAGATACTCACACTTCTACATTATCAACGGGACCATGGTTATTTAGATTACAAACGTCAAATTCGAGTTCAAATTACAATGAATCAGAACCAAAGGGAATTCACTTATATTTCATGTCAAGAAATGGTGCAAATTATGCTATACAGAGCTCATCCACCCCAGAATACATCGAAGCCACTCACGAAAACACAACAATTTCAAAAGGTTACACTTTGCCTGTTTTTGGAGCCGCTACACCTGTCATAATGTTGTGTTCTTTCATATACACAATTATACATTTGTTAAGAAAGCCAAAACCAAAGAATGATGAAGAAAAAATCGAAGAAGTAATTTCTGATAAAAGTGAGACTAAATCGAGCCCAAAGACCGATGATAAACTAGAAAAACTTTCTACTTCTGAGTCATCAGCAGAAGACCAATGACTATTCCTATATTTTGTTTGTATTTTGTTTTGTAAATTTCTATTTATTCAATTTCAAGATTTTTAACGCATTACAGTCTGTGAGTATCCTTATTGTTTGTGTTTTTTGATTGAAATAGGTATTAAATATCAAAAATTGAATTAATATTTTTGCAAAACCAAAATATATGCCTATTATTGAGAATAATATTGTTTACCTGAATGTTTTGAGCAATTTTAATGTATGTACCCTCATTAAGATGTTAAATTTGAAAAATATAAAATGAAATTCATTGAACTCTCAATCAGGTTGAAGCATCATAAGTATAAGTAGAATCAAACTAAACATACATATATGTAGGATTTTTCAAAGGTGTTATGCAAAACATTTACATCATATTTACAAAATCAGATTTTTGAAGTCATTAAATCATTATTATTTTGATATTCATAAAAATTTAGGAATATTTTAATTAAAAAATCAAACATTTTATCTATATCAAACAAAAAAAAATATCAATAAAATCAAGCAGTCATTTCTATTTCATCTTTGAAAGTTGAATTCTTCGTGAAACCATTCACTTCATCACTTCTTTGGTTTCCTTCACTAGAATTCTTCTTTTTCTGGCACAGTTTCTTGTAATAGAACAAGAAATAAACAACGAAAGCAATCAGAATTCCAGATACAAGTAAAATAACAATCAACATAAATATTTCATTCTTTGACAATCCGAAAACATTTCCTCCAACTCCAAAAGAATGTTGAACGTTGAAATCATCACATAATTTCTCATCACCGCGTTCAACATTCACACCAAGAGCTGTTGGATAAGGGTAGTCATAATCAACGAAAACTCTATACATTTCATTCACGTCAACTCCATCGAAATAAGTTGAAGAATCTCCTTTGACGCACAAAGCGAAAATTCCGAATTGCGCAAACATAGAATTATCATCAGACAAGAAATTTTCATGAACAATAAATTTCGATTGCGGCAATCTTGCAATATAACTCAATTCATTTTCATAATACATTTGAGTTACCACATCATTGCTACTTGCTGTTGTTACATTTTCAGGAATTTCAATAAAATCTTCACCATTATAAGCAACAATTGATTGAACAACACCTGTTAACTTATCAACAACAAAGAAATTATCCTGAACTTTTAGATAATAATTATCATCAGCGATTTCTATTTGTAATTCACTACTTTTCATTGCTTGCAACAAACTCTTAAATATATTTGTATGAAAATGTTTTGAGAAGTAAATATAATCTATATCACATCTATTAAATACAGCAGAAGCAGCAAAAGAACAATAATCCATGAAATAAACTTTCTTAAGTGTAGAAATGTTATCAAAACAAACATCTTCTAAATAATATCCTGTATAAGGATTAGACAAATTTAAAGATTCTATAGAAATGGAATGGAAACATCCTTCTTCATATCTTTCAACAGTATTTGTTAAATGTAATTCACTCAGTTTGAAACAATGCTTGAAACTTTCAAAACCAAGGATTTTCGCATGCGAAAGATTTATCTCTTTCAAACTAATACATCTCCTGAAACTTCTTGTTCCAAAATACGTACAATCACCTGTTCCTTCGACTTCTTCCAAACTAAAACAATAATCAAAACAAAAATCATCAAAAAATAAAATTTTTCCATTACATAAGAATTTCTCTAAATTCGATGAATTCGCGAACATTCCATTAGAAATAACAAAGTCTCCTGTATTATCTATCGTGAATTTCTCTAATTTCGGCATTTTGCTGAATGAAAATTCGCCAAAAACAACAGAATTCGAAACAACAACTTTTTTTAATTTTTGATGAGATTCAAATGCATAATCAGCAATTTCTTGAACAGATGAAGGTATTTCTAGTGATTTATTGGATGATGCTCTCATTATTCCATATAAAATCTTCTTGTCTGATGAATACAAAACAGAATTTTCAAACAAAAAATTCGAATTTTTTTCGTCAATTTCGATTTTTTCGAGTTTTGTACAGTTTGCGAACGCGTTAAAAGATATATCAGTAACATTAGGTCCTAAATAGATTGTTTCAAGTAAATAACAATTGTCAAATTGATGATTTGAAACAAAATTATTTTGAATTTGTAATTTTGTAATTTTTGTTCTTTGGAAAGCTCCAAAACCAATATTTGTAAGATTATTTAGATCTACTTCATTAAACGGACACCCGAAAAATGAATATTCCCCAACTTCATTCACAACATCAGTAAAAGTGACACTTTTTAAATTTTTACAACCTTGGAACATTCTTTCACCGATTTTTCCATCGGAAAGAGGGTCAATCACCACGGATTCCAGGTTGACGCATCCTGAGAAACATAAACTATAATTTACTGAGCTTGAAATGAAGATTTCAAGTGATTTTAGACCAGGACACTGAACAAAACTTTGTTTGCTTAGTAAATGCTTTGTGTACTTAGTTAATGTTATTTTGTTACATTGTACAAACACTTTGTCACCGAGTTTTAAGTCGTTTTGGCGATTTTCGAGTAGATTTAATTGTAATTTCGAACATTGCCAAAATGCTTTGTCTCCTATTGATGCAATTGAAGGGATATCAAGTGATTCGAGGTTGGAGCACCCATAAAACGCATTTTCATGAATCTCGTGAACGTTTGGAAGAGATAAATTTTTCAAATTTTTGCAAAATTTAAATAAACTCTCAGGAATAACGGAAACAAAGTCTGTTAGCGTGATATCTACTAGGTTGCAGCATTCATGGAACACGCCTTTGTTTAATTCAAGTTTAATCGGGATATTAATTTTTTTAAGGTTTCCGCATTTTGAGAATGTATATTCGCCCAACGTTAATGAAATATGGTCATCAAACGTTACATCGGTGAGTTGGGAGTTTTCAAAGCAGTAGGTTCCGATCGATCTGATTTCCGTTCCAAATTTAAAGGATTTGATGCCTGAGTATGCGAAACATTTATTTCCTAATGATCCAATCTCTTCGAAATTATATGTAAATGTGTTCAGATTTTGACAGTTGTAGAACATTTTTTCACCTATTATGGAAGAATCACCGAAATCAACAGTATTAAGAAAGAGACAGTCAGAGAATGCTTGGTCACTAACATCTGTTAATGAGTTACCGATAGATAGTGATTGTATCGAGGAATATTGAAATGCATTTAAACCCAATGTAGTAATGTTGGGTAATTCAATATTTTTGAGATTAACACAGCTGAGAAATGCATAGTCCATGATAATTTCAATATTTTGGAGATTGATTTCTTCTATTGCGGAATTTTGAAAGGCGCGAGAATTTATTTGAACGGTTTCTTGTGGAAGAATGACTTTCTTCAAGAAATGACAATCTTGAAAGCAATTATCAGGGATTTTTGTTAATAAATTATGACGAATTTCCAAAGTATTAATTAATTTAAACCATTTGTATGTCCTTATGTTATCAGGAAGCGATTCGTTCAGTAAACATTTCGTTATTTTGGCTAAATATAACTTTTTGAATAAGCCAGGTGTATCGTATTCACTATCGCTATTAAATATGATGGCATCTCCTGAAATTACCGGGTCTGCACTAATTCTTATATCTCGGGCAAGCAAGCGCGATATTATAAGTGTAGAGCGCATAAATATCTACTTTTTTTGAGGGAAAAATTTCAATAAAATTTCATAATCCTCCGATTTCGCAAAAACTATAAATTTGGTGATAAACAATCAATAGGATAAATTCAGTTCTATAAATAAATTATTTTTGAGAGCAATTCAAAATTTTTAAAGATATTAATGATTGTGAAAATGAATGCATTAAATTATTCCAAGCAATTATTGATAACAGTCAAAACCGCTGATTGTTCAGTCATTATATTTCTCTTTCTAATACATGTGTTAATATTATTATTACAAACTTTGGAGTTGAGACTTTTGAGAGATCTATCGTCTATTGACAAGGTTATTTACAGTCAGAACAGATGATTTAGAATCGATCAATATAAAGATGCACCCATCAAAAAAAAAAAAAAAAAAAAAAAAAAAAAAGGTAGTGGGGCTTCCAGGGGCTGCGCCCCTTCTAGCCCCGAAGATGTTTAGTATAAATGAAGTCTTAGAGGACATACATGACTATGAGTTTTGATATGACAAGATAGAATATGAGAGAGGTCCTATAAACCGGAGAAAGTGTCATATAAACATCTGTCGTTTTACTCAGAATTTTATACAGAATTCGACAAAAATATATTTTAGGGTAGAAGGGTATATCTAACCTCTTTTCTAACCTCTTTTCTACCCCATATGTCCTTACTGAAAATATGACCTTAACCGAGTAGTTTTCATGTTTTGTCACTTTTCTGTCACTTTTCAGGAAAAAACATTTTTATTATATATATAAAATGAATTTTACAAAACCACCGTTACCCTTCTTTGGAAATAAGAGTAGATGTAAAGATATTCTATTGAGAGAACTTAAGAAACTACCGAATGGTCTAACATTTGTAGACTTGTTCGGTGGAAGTTTCTATATATCTCATTTGTGCCATACAATATTTCCTGACTCAAAGATTATATGCAATGACTTCGACAACTATATGGACCGTCTCAAACATATACCAGACACAAACAAAATATTGAAAGAGTTAAAAGAAAAGATACCTATAGGTAAGATGGAACGTATACCATTAGATAAGAAAAATACTGTCAGAGAGGTTTTGAAAAAGGCAGAGTATATTGACTGGGATAGTATATCTGCTAGACTATTATATAGTGGTGCTATAAGAGTTCATGACATTGAAACACTTATGTCAAAAGTTTTATATCTTAACTATACAAATGTTTTCAAAGAGGACATAGAAAAATATATTGAGGGTATAGAGTTTGTGAGATGTCATTGGACAGATTTGTATGAAAAATATAAAGACAAGGAAAATGTTTTCTTTATAGTGGACCCGCCGTTCTATAACACATGGGATTTTCAATACCAAGTAGACTGGACTTTGAGAGACTCTTTAGAAACTTTAGACGTTTTACATAACCATCCATGCTTTTACTTTACATCCGATAAAAGTGGTTTGGAAAGTGTTATGAGATGGTTAGAGGATATACATGACTATGATTTTAGATACGATAAGATAGAATATGAGAGAGGTCCTATAAACCGGAAAAAGTGTCATAACAAAGAAATTTTACTAGTAAGTAAATGTGGTTTGAAATAGGACTACTTGTTTTAGGTTTTTTCCATTGTGTCATTTACTTATTTGACGTGGCAGAAAGATATAGAGAATATGAAGATGAACCAATGCCTGCAAATGTTCAGCATATGTACTCGTAAGAGATATTTTTATCTAATATTAAATGGACGCACAGAACTTAGCGAATGCACAGCAACCTGGACAACCAAACCCAGAGAATATTCCAAATGAAGTTAGAATACAAACTGCAATGGCAAACTATGGTCAAGTGCCAACAGATGTACAAATGCAAACTGCCATGTCAAATGACGCTGCGTTAGGTTTGCCACCATGGTATGCAAATATGAGATGGAAAGAGTTTTATACAAACCCTGAAGTGGGATATAAACAACTCTATGCAGATGACGCGAACACAGGAGTTGACCCAGAGTATGTTTTCTACCAGAGGAGAAATAGAATGTATGAGCTCCAGTTAAAGAATGCTATGGAACTCAGAAGGAAACGTAAGAGACTAGGCGGACATTAGATTTTTACATATAGTAAAATGGGTTTCTTCAGTAGTATTGGAAACTTCTTTCGAAATGTTGGAAGAGGTATATGGAATGGAATAAAAACCGTAGGAAGAGGAATTTGGAACGGTGTCAAAAATATTGGTAAAAGAGTAGGTCAGTTCGTTGGTATTATACCTAAAGACCCTGAACCAGAAGAACAAGCTCCTGTTATACAACAGCCTGAACCTGCACCACAGTCTAGTTGGCAACCAAATCCAACACCTCAACCGTATTAAAATTATATTTTTACCGTTCGATAGTAGTTGTATATGAGACTAAGTTCTAAGTAAAACGCATGGTATAATGGAACTATTCTCTTTCTTCCATCTGTAGTAAACCATACTTGAAAGTCTGAAATACTTCCACTTGGTGGTTCGTATAGCTTTGTAGGTTTTTCGTAAAAGTCATTTGCCAAGCATAAAAAAGAGTTTTGTGCACCAGAAAATGAAGCATGAACTATAATAGCATCTGAGTCGAAAACATTTTCATATGTTCCATTAGGGTTTTCGACTTCATAAAAGTTCGGGTGTACTGGATATTCTGCAGGCTGATTTAACATCCTCAAAAATCTATACCATGCCAAGTTGTTATATTTTGTAGAAATATAAACGTCTTCTCCAAGGTCTTCTATTCTATTGATTTTAACAGTTGCATTTTTCCTGTCATAAACAATATCGAGATGGTACTCTCCTTCGTCAATGTTGTACTGTTTTGCATATTCGAGATAGATATCGTTTATTTTTTCTTGAAAAGCTTGAAGAGTTGTTTCTAAGTTTACAAGCAAATTCACTTGTAAAAGTTTTCCCTGTTCAAATTTCTCATACGTACGTTTCTCTTTGTTATAGTATCGAATTTCAAAAGCGACCGTAAATGGGAAACCATGTATGGCTTCTGAAATGAACTTCATTCTACGAAAGCCAACAGCTTTTGTGACGGATGGGTCTCTTAACCATCTTAACGGGTAGTCAAAACGATAGCCTTCATGCTTTACGGTCTCTGTCTCAAACTTTTGACCGACATTAGTAAAAAGTTCATCTAATGGTTTAGTTGTAGCAACTCTTGAATTTTCTTTTTCTATTGAAAGCATATTTTATCTAGAATAAAAATGTCGAAAGAAACAGCGTCTATGAGAGAAATACAACACAACCGACAACTCATTGTGCAAGCTCTAAATAAGAACACAACAAACTTTTCAAACTATTCTAAGATATCTGAGTCATTGAAAGAAGGAAACTTAAAACTGACGATAAACCCATTGACAGACGAGTTTCTGTTTCAAGACAGTAAGAACCATACTGTTTGTATAAATCCAACAAAAGGAACTTTAAACGAGAAACCTATAGATGAACTTCTTTTGAAAGCAGATGTTGACAACAAAGCTGACAAAGAGTATGTCATTGAAAAAGTTCAAGAAGAACATGACAGAGCAGATGCAACATATGCAACGAAAGAACATACTCATCCTGAACTAGCAGACAAAACATATGTTGACAATAAAATGTCAAGTGAAGTGACAAGAGCTGAAAACGAATATTCTAAAAAGACTCATATACATACCATTGCAAATATTACAAACTTACAAGAAACCTTAAACAGGAAAAGTGACGTTGGACATACACATTCTATATCTGAAATAACAGACTTAAACGTTAGCCTTGAAAAGAAAGCTGACAAAACATATGTCAACAGTGAGTTAGAGGAGAAGGTAGATAGGGGTTGTATGGCTAGTGCGTTAGTGAAGAAGGCAGATAAGGAATATGTGGATGAAAAAGACAATGAAATTAAAGAAAGGGTTGAATGGTATAATGAACGGACATCGAAGATTTTAGAAGGTAAAGCCAATACAGGGTGGGTTTCAGGATGTTTAGACCTTAAAGCGGATAAGAACCATACACATACCATTGCAAATATTACAAACTTACAAGAAACCTTAAACAGGAAAAGTGACGTTGGACATACACACGATTTCTTCGCAACTGTTGGTATAGAAAATATTGAAGGAACGGTTGAAGGAGCTGGTGGGGATGTATTAGATTGGAAACCTCCTAACTTTCCACAAGGTTTAACATCGGAAGAAGACATAACAACGATGAGATACATTAGATGTAGAAATGTCTATGTCATGGAGGATGAAAAAAAAGTTAAATTCACTGCTCAAGATTTATATGATAAAAAAGCTGACAAAACAGAGCTTCAAACGTTAAAGACAGAAATACTTCAAACACTATATCCTATAGGTTCTATTTACACGTCAATGAACTCTACCAGACCAGAAGTAGTACTTGGTCTCGGAACTTGGACTCAAATAGTCGACAGGTTTTTGTATTGTGCAAACTCTTCAAAGGAAACAGGTGGAAGTAAAACGATTTCAGGTGAAAACTTACCTGCGCACAGTCACTACATAAATTTAAGTACATCTGAAGCAGGTTTGCATAGTCATAGATTTTGGGATTGGTCAGGAATGACAAAAGGTAAAGGATATGATGTTAAAGAGGACGTTAAGTTTGCTATAAATTGTTACTGGAGTAACACTGAGGTAGGAGGAAGCCATACACATCGCGTTTCAGGGTATACGCAAACAACGGGACAAAGTAAAGACTACATGCCACCTTACATGACAGTTTACGCATGGTATAGAAATGCTTAGTCGTCATTTTCAACTTCTTTAGCATATTCGTCAGGAGTTGTCTTATATTTGTTAGGAACTGTCTTTGAAAGTATACCACCTTGAACCTTAACAAGTTTGAAACGAGGTCTGACAATAGTAGTTTTATCTTCTGCTTGCAGTGTGTACATTTTGCCATGTTTGCCTAAAACTTCATAATATTCTCTTGTATACTTTCTTCTATTTTTACGAACACGAATGCGAGTACCTGTCGAGTTCCCATTGTTGTCA